GAATGACCTCGCCCTGCAATGCCAGGGTCAGGGATTGTTAGGACAGCGATATCCAAAAGGGGTTTCAGCAAGGATGGGAATGTTTTATTTTCCACCAGGTCCATGCCGGTAACCACTAGCCACGTGTGACCTCTGAGCATTTAAATTACGGCGATTGCGACTGATGCACAGAATTTAACATTTTCTCTTCCTTAAATTAACTTAAGTTTTAGTAGCCACGTGTGGCTCTGGCCGCTGCATAGAACAGCATGCATTTAGGCAAAGGGCTTCCCAGTTACCACTGACGGATATGGCCCATGCCCAGCCCCTGCGATTCGGGCCGCTGTGACTGGGCCGTGGGGAGGGAGGCAGAGTGTTCATTATTTAGACACAAAAGGTCAAGAGAGAAGCTGTCACTAGAGGGGAAATAAATCCCAGACTCTGGCTCTTTTTAGGGTTCTGTTTTCTCGATTAACATCTGAGGACGAGGGAGCCTGGAGCAGGAACTGGCAAACTTTTGGTAAAGGGCAAGAGGATGAATATTTTTGCCTTTGAGAGTCTGCATTGCAACCAACTCGGCTGTCGTCAAGCAAATGTCAGAGACAGTGTGTAAATAGCTGGGCACGGCTGTGTTCCAATAAAACTTTATTTACAAGAACAGGCCGAGGGCTGGCTTTGGCCCAGGGCTGGCCCATAGTTTGCCAACCCCGAGGCTAGAATTATCTGTGTCTGGAGCTGCCCAGTTCAAACCAGCAGAACAAATGCTTGCCTTTTGCCCACTGGGATGGGGCATGAGACAGCATGGCCCACTCGCTTCCAGTGAATGACAGTTTCTGGTTGGGTCACACCAAGCAGCTAGCAGGTGTCAGTGGAGCAGACCCCTTGCCTTGTGGCCAGATCTGGGCTGGTGCAGAAATGATACACGGCGGGACTGTGTCTCCTCTTTTCCGTTTATGCCCACAGTGCCCAACACCGGGCGTTGCACTTAGAGTGTCAGGGTTGGCATGTGCCAAATTTGCAACCAGGGCGGTCAGTGCGGGGTAGGGCGGGTGGCACTGAATCCAACAGAGCTCGACTCCACGGTCCGGCTGGAAAAGGGCAGAGTCAGAAGGGAAGGGTCTGGGGTGGAGTCCGGGTGGATGCACAGCTCGGGGACAGGGCCTTCTGGTGGGACCTGCGCTTGAATTAACATTTTTTTCAACCAGCATCTTCTCCTGCTCCTGTCTTTCCTCCCTCACCTCCTTCCTGCTTTCTCTTCTGCTTTCTCTTCTCAGTGTATTTTACACAAAGCTGTATACCGGGAAATAATCGCGATGAAATTGTGTAGTTGATGGGAAAGCTTATTTTTCAGATTTTAGCTGTTAAAATACACAGATGTCATTCACGTGTCATCTGGACCCGTCGCAGGCTCCTCCGCACCTGGCGAAGGCAGCTCGAGACGCGAGCTTTGGCTTCTGCGTTCTGATGGGGTCATCTGTGCCCCTTTCCCTCAGGGCCCCGGTTGATTAATGCCATACCTGGAGTGTGCTCAAGCCAGAAATGAGGGTTGTCACCTGTGGCCAAGGAGCAGAGTGGCCTCTCGTTAAATACGCTCCCAGTGTTCGGTTTACCAGGCCCTGGTTTTTTCAAGCCACCCCCTTCCCTGGAATCGCAGTAGCTGAGTCGAGGGTCCGTGTGTACCCCGGGCCCCTCCCTTTTCACCCAAGAACTGGTGCTGTTCTTTGGTTTGGAAGAGGGTCTCTCCCGGAGCCTCCTCCTAGGTGATCAGACAGGCCAGCTGCAGAGGGCCCCGTTGGAGAGGGTGGGACAGCTCGCTCGGCCACGTGTAAGACGGGGTGGGGGTGTCATTTTTTTCCTGTTTGGGGAAACGGTCCTGGATTAGCTCGCGGCCCTGCCCGGGGTGGCGTGGGAGACTGTGAGCTCACGCCTGTCCTCCCGCCGCGCCTGCGAGGAACTTGTCTGTTCCCAGCTCTGTCATTTCCTCCCAATTGGCTGGGCCAGACGCTCCAGACACTGTTAATGAGACGCTGAGGGATCTGGCCGGGTGGTGGCTCTTGAGTTCAAGGGGACACAACCCCACACTCAAGAGGCCACGTGAGCCGGTGGCTCTGCTTAAGTCAAAGCCCAGCGGACCTCTGGAATGGAAGTGGAACGGTATTCCAGGCAGTGGGAACAGCATGAGCAAAGGGTTGGGGGTGAGAAACGGGGGGATGGGGAGGGCCGCAGGGACGAAACATGGAGAATTAAAATCAGGCGACGTGCAGTGAGTGGGGCTGTCCGGGCAGGCACTGCGAGGGGGTGACTCTGCAGGCACCCCTGAACCCCTTAAAGTTGAGGAGCAGCAGCAGGCCGCCTGGAGAGGGCGACTTTTGGGGCCGCTTGTGCGGGAGGCCTCAGACCTCAGTCTTAAATGAACACACCTTGCTAGGTGCTCCACCCGGACCTCTGAAAATTTGCAAGGAGGGTTCCCTTTGGCCACAAGAGGGCGCCCAACCCCAGGCCAGATGCGAGTGGGGTGTCGTGGGGGGTCTGGAGGAGAGCCCCGGGGAGCTTTGGATGCCATTTCAAACCAAACTTCATAAACGGATTACCTAAGCTCTTTGGGAAGCGGGGAATTGTTTCCAAACCAGCTTGAGAGGTTCGTTCTATTCAGCTGGTGCCAAGGGGCTGAGAGACCCAACAACGGAAACAACAGGTTCCTGGCCTCCAGGAGCCCCCAGTGGAGTGTGGAAGACAGAGGATTTGGATGCGACGTGATTAAGTGCCAGAGTCTCAATCCAGATCGGTCCCTGAATAAGCATTTCACGAGCACCTACTGTGTGCCAGGCTTTGTGCTCCTTGCCGAGGGCAGAGAAAAAGGAACAATACAGAATCACTGCCCTCAGAGACCCCCAGTCCACTTGGGAGATAAAAACTGAAAGAACGAATTTGGGGAAATAGGCAAGCACAGCCACAGAGATACAGACAGAATATTTTAGGAGAAATAGCCAACCCAGGCTAGAGGGGAAAAGGGAGTATCGGGGGAAGGCTTCTTAGGAGGAACACAGCCAACCCTGGCTGGGAGGGATTGGGGTATCATGGAAGGCTTCCTGGAGGAGAGGGCACCAGCGACAAGTCATAAAAGATAGATGGAGATTAAGGCAAAGAAGGGGATGGTACTCCAGGCAGCGGGGACAGCATAGCAGAGGATTAAGGGTGAGAAACAGCACAGAATAGCGGCCGGAGCGCAGTGAGAGGGCGATGGGGAGGGCCTCAGGGCCAGGTCAAGGTGGGCGTGGGTGCTGGGCGCCAGGCTGAGGAGATCGCGTCTCCCTGCTCTCACTGCTGTGCGCACACATCCATTTACCTCTCCTCTCCGTCTCCCTCCCAGAGCCAAGAAGAAGAGCAAGCCCTTGAACCTCAAGATCCACAGCAGCGTGGGCAGCTGCGAGAACATCCCGGCCCAGCAGCGCTCTCCGCTGCTGTGCGAGCGCTCCCTCCGCTCCTTCTTCGTGGGACACGGGCCTTTCCTGCCCTCCACCCCTCCCGTCCACACCGAGGCCAACTTCTCCTCAAGTAAGTCACCTGTCCAGGTGCAGGCTCTCTTTCCATTTTCTGCTTTGGTGACAACGCTCTCGAAGGGCTCGCTGAGCCAGCCACCTCCCCCCTGCGCCACACGCGCCCCCGCGAGTGGTTCCCAAGGGAAGGGGGCGTCGCTGGCCCTCCCGAGGGTGGCTGGCTGTTGTCGCTGGCCCCGCAGGTGTGTAGGGATGACAGGGAAGCGGGGCGTTCAGGGACGGAAACATCAGCTTGTCCTCCTGCTTCTCAGCTGCCCGTCACAGGCTTTTTCTCTCTCCGCTGTGGATAAGGCTTCTGTGATTATGTTTCGTAATTTTCCCCCGCCACGCAGGTCAACGCAGCATAACCTTTCCGTCTCCGAGATGTATTGGGGTTCATGCTGGGCCGAGCGTGGCCCGGGGCGGCTTACATTCTGCCCCCACGGATTCTGCCGCAAATAAAGTTGTTATTACTCAGGGCAGAAATGGAACTTTCTGAGGTCTGAGGAGGCATTTAATCTTCTCTGCCAGGGGCCCAGACGTGTTCAGAGGGGGAGCCCCTGAAAGAAACCCAGCCAGTCCTCCATCCAAGGCAAGAGCTTTTGTTGACTGGGAATCCGGGAGGAGCCGGGCTTCGGAGGAGATAACCCCAGGCCCTTAACACAGTCACAGGGCGTCCGTGTTGTGTTGCCGCTCTGACCGATGCTAGGTCATGTTTACTGAGCACCGGGACTTGCTAATTATGACGATCGTCAAGCACCAGTACTTGCTAATCCACGTGCATGGTCTCATTTCATTCTTGGAGTGACCCATGGTGTCGATGGATTATTCCCATTGTACAGATGATGAAACTGAGGCTGAGGGACGGCAGAGAACTTGCCCAAAGTCACACTCTATCGAGTAGTTGAGCCGGAATTTGCATGTGGTTCTTTCTTACTCCTGAGTACGTGAACTAATCATCATGTGTGACTTGATCCCCAGGACCCCTCAAGTATCCGCAGGGACCCCTTTCTCTAAATGTGGGGTTCTACTCTTTACACAAGACTTTTACCACCTGTTTTTTGGAGAGGCCGTAGGCCCTTTAAGAATTTGATGAAGCCCATTAATTCTCTCCCTGGAAAGCGGCACGTGGAACAAACATCCAACACACGTGTCCGGTGTCAAGACGGTTGGGTTCAGAAGCTCGGCCTTAGCCCAGCTGGGCGGGGGGCCTGGGGTGGGGGGGGACTCAGTTTCCAGTCCACAAATGTGGAGCCCGCATCCACTGCGGGAGTCAGGAGACCCGTGTGGACGTCAGTCAGGAGAAGTTCCAGAGCCTGACTTGTGTTCGTGCCCAGGGGGTGCAGGCCCTGGCTCAAGCAAACCAAAATAGCACCCGAGACCCACGTCAGCGCCAGAGAGCCAATTTATCAATTTGTCAGGAGAAATCACTGTCAGGGAGACCAGACGTGCTCCCTGACCGTGGCAGTCACGTGGCAGGCAAAGGGTGGCTGCATGAGCTGGGATGAGGAACACGTGATGACGTCATGAATGAGCGATGGCAGCTGGGCGGGGGAGGCAGGGCGTCCCGGCCCTGCAGGGAGACGCCTGGGTTCAAGTCCCAGCTCTCTTACTTTTGGGCCCTGTGCCTGACCTTGAGCAAGTTAAGAGCCTCGTTGAGACTCAGTTTCCTCACCTGTAAAACGGGGAAAACAGTAGACCCATCGATGTTTGCGAGGATTAGATGAGCTTGTGTAGGTCGAGTTGCCTGCACCATGCTGGGCACACAGTAAGTGCTTAATAAACACCACCTGATGCTGTGATATTTTTAGTCCCCTTTCCCTAGCAGCATTCCATCTTCTAGCTCCATGATTCATTCCGAGGCTGTGGCTAAATGCTTTTCAGCTGATCTTCCCACTTTTGCATGGTCCTGGAATTTTCCTTGGCATGAGGCTTGGCGGCTGCCTTCAGCAGCCACCTCCATCTTCGGCCATCGCCATCCTGCGGGTCGGCGTCAGCAGGGCCACCTCTGAGGGCTTGGTCACAGCTGTGTGCCTTAGCTCTGGCCAGAGAGGAATCACCTGTAGCTTGTTTTATAAAAACACCATGGGCTTGCACATTTAGACCCCTCCTCGTGCTGAAGGGAGCTTTGCGAGGGTTCACCGTGGCTCCCGGCTTTTGCATCTGCCCTGGTCTCCATCAGAGAGGAGCAGCTCCTCTGTTTGCCCCTGGGCGGGGGGCAGAGTCCTTAATTAAAATCAGCTCCCGGCACTAAGTGGCCCTGGAAGCACGGTTGCCTCTTTGGACGGTGCTGGTCCTTGGATGCAGGGGAGTCGCCCTTGATCTCTGAAAGGGGGAAAAGAGCATTGGCGTCTCACTCAGATAGCAGCTGGACCCCATGGACCAGTCCCATTTCCCTTGACCCTAACAGGTAACAGCATGAGGCAGCCTGGTGGCACAGGCCCCAGAGCTGGATCTGGGAAGCTGTCTCTTGGAGTCTCGGTGATGCCACCAGTGGCCTGTGTGGCCACTGCCCCTGCCGTGTCACAGCTAAGGCTGACCACGCTCTTTGAGGCAGGCATTGCTATTCCCATTTTACAAATAAGGAAACAGGCTGGAAGGTGAAGGATGGTTGCCTGTGTGGTAGCTTTTGAACCCAGGTCTGACTCTAGCGTCACTTTCATGCCGTGAGCTCCTGTCTCTCTCAGGGTCTCAGTTTCCCCAGTTGGACAAGAAGAGACTCTATGAGGGTCTGTTTCAGAGCTTAGAAACTCTGTGATCCTAAGGCTTTCCCAGGGAGCTTTTCCTGGGCACCTCTTTTAATTCACTTAGAAAGTTGGTTTTGGAGACTCCGGGCGGGGTGTTGGGAAAACAAAGCCGAGGAAATGGGGGAGGGGGTGGAGAGAGTTCACGGAACTGGCCCGAGGTCCCGAGGTCAGGAAGGAGGTGGAGTCTGCGCTCATTTCGAACCCACCACCCTACAGTATCCTGCGGAATGAGACCGCAGAGCCGTCCTCACGGGGGCCAGCTTGCTCTCCAAGCAGGGACCTTGGTCACATCGTCTCGCTTGCTCGTCGGGAGGTTGTGCTGTGGGGACAGGCTGGCACCCACGCTGGCTCTCCAGTCCTCACCCCCCGGGACTCCCGTGTTGAAATTCAGAGCGTCCGCTGTCCCAGGTGGTGGCCATCCCCGGGGTGGCCTGGCAGCTGCAAGAGTGAGCTGCAGGCAGCTCCAGCTCCGGCTGCTCCCGCGCCCCGACGTCCCCGGTGGGAGATGAGGAATGACTGGCTCCTTCTACCCCCTGCAGTTTTCTGTGTGTTTCTTTATGAGCTGCCTGTGGGGGCCGAGCGCTCAGGGCAGCAGCCACCGAAGGGAACCAGTGACTGATGGTCCCCGGTCTTCCCCATCCTGGCCCTAATGACAGCAGCTGGAGTTCGGTGTGAGGCCCCCGTCTCATGACATGCTTGTCCTTCCCGCGGTGGCCCGGGAGATGGCCCGCCCTCACCTGGCCCGTCTCCCCCTGCCCTCTCCCCATCTCTTCTCCAAGCAGCTCCTGTCCTTTGTCCCTTGTCCCAGCAGACACCTGCCCCTGTGCCCAGGGCCTGGCCTGGCCTGGCGAGCCTGGGGCTGAGTCAGGAGCCCGACTTGGGGCGGAAAGCAGCAGCAGGTAGCAATAAAGACTGATGATGCCTAACCGCCGACTCCCAAGAAAGCAGCCACCGGAAGGGTCATAAAGAAACTCGGGCTGGGGGTGATTATATAATGGGGTTTAATGAGGCTTGAGGCCAAGGTTCATTACCTGCTGGGAGAGCGGGGAGGGGTGGGAAGCGCGTGTGTCTCGACCGAAGTTTGCTGCCCGAAAGCCACGTTCTTGTCTCAGGAGCAGGAGAGATGCTGAGAAGATTGGGTCTGACCTCACTCAGTGGCGGCCATTCCAAGGGGAAAACGTATATATCGCTGGAGGGACCCAAAGAGCTTTTCTCCCCCAAGAATGCTGCTTCCCACGCACCCACCCACCGCCAGCAGCCACAGAAAGCATCTGTGTTGCCTGGCATCGGGCTATGTTTTAGAAACCCAGGTGCCAGCAGGTCCCTGACGTGTCCCGACTGTCTGCTGTTTGCCAGGCAGGCCCCGGTCTAAGTGGCATCGAAATATATACACCTGGAAACAGATCGCATGATACAGAAAGTTCATAACGAGAAACATGGGTCCCTCGCACCACCCCTCTCCCAGTCCTGCGCTTACAAAGCCCTGTCTGCGCCTGGTTCTCCTGGCGATCGCGTCCACAAATTAAACCTGCTTGTACCAGGGCTTCCCAAAGCCGGCCCTGGACCAACAGCGACAGTGTCGCCTTAGAACATGACTCTGGGGCTGTTGCAGATGCAATTAGTCAGGTTAAGGTTCACACCGGAGGAGGGTGGGACCTTCACCCACTAGGACTGGCGTCCTCATGAGCAGAGAGGAGTTCAGACACGGAGACCTGCGCTCCGGGAGAGCGTCCTGTGGCCATGGAGGCAGAGATTGCGGGGTGCAGCTGTGAGCCAAGGAGCTCCAGGGATTGACGGCCACCCCCGAAGCTAGAAGGGGCAAGGACGCGTTCATTCCCCCACGTCTCAGAGGGAGCCCGGCCCTGCCGACACCCTGACTGCTGGCCCCCCAAACTGCGAGAGAACACACTTCGGCTGTTCCGAGCCCCCCAGGTTGGGGTCAGAGCCGCCCTAGGACGCTCACACGTGTCTGTGCAGGGTCCGTCTCCAGCCCTGGGGGTTGCGAGGGCCGTGCGGTGAGTCAGTCTCCCGGTGATGCACAGTCGGCCTGGGAGCAAACTGGGTGCTTTTTGGGAAAACGACATGAAACCATCTCAGCTGTGAAATTGCTCGCCCATCAATGAGTTCGAGCGATCGCCTCGCTGATGGCCTCCCGGTGACCATAAAGAGTTAAGAGCTGCTTCCCAAAAAGGCCCCCCGGCTCCCTGGACGGCTGTTTGCCAGGGAAGAGAAGCTGGCCCGGCAGCCGGGGGCTCGGCGGAGGAGGGGCGGG